GAAGATTAAAAAAATGGCTATATGGAAGCAAGGAGGAAGCTAAAAGAAATAGTATAGGAGGAAAAAAGAAAAGGAAACAGAAAATAAGTGAAATAATAATGAATTTAAAATGTATTGATAATGGACTTAAGATATAGAGATAAAAAATAAAGCTAAAAGAAAGGAGAATAAGATAAAATCAAAAGAAAAATTAGTAATTACAATAAGAATAGACAAAGTAGAATACAATCAAAGGGAACAAAGGAAGTAGAGATATGCAAGAAAAAGGAAGAAAGAAAAAAAGGGCTGGGGGGAAACAAACCAACCTGCCCCACCCAAAAAAAATCCAGTCATACATATCATAGCCCAATAAACAAAACCACTCACACTCTTACACTAAAAAACCTTTGGGTCCACTATTTGTGGAGCTCACTGGATTTTGCTCTGATGTTGTAGTAGCTGGCCCCTTGGTGTATCTATCCTGGGGCCCCTGGAAGCTTCTCTGGTGCAGGTCAATGTGAGTCACTGTTCTTTCGGCCCTGGGCAACCTGATTGAGGTCCAAGAGGTTGAAGCCTCTGGTAATCCCATGAGCAGGGACTCCTTAGGCCAAAGACTAGATCCGCCTTGAGTCTCTCACCTTGATTATCCCTGTTCTGAGCTGGACTCCCTTCCCCCATGGAGCTGGGCTCTGCAAGGGTATCCTGTTCTTGGCCAGGATGGTTTGAGAAGACTCATGTTGAGGGAGGTGCTGGTAGCCTTTAAGGGAGGGGGAGCAGGCCCTTTCTCTTCTTTTAATGCAAGTATGTCAAACTCAAATGCTAACACAGGCCAAATAAACAAGGTTTATGTTTATGTGGGCTGCAAAAAAACAAAAGCTTCAATTTTCATAGAAATGTAGGTTTATTTTGATAGAAACATGCTGAATACAAAGGGCTGAAATAAATGAGTAATTGTTAACATAAAATAATAGAATATTTTAAGAAAAATTAATATTTTTCTTGAACATTAACTTACCAGACATTGAATAACTGCACAAATTAATAAGCGTAACTCAAATAAACCTATTTTTCTTGTTTTCCAAAAGTGAAATATTTCCTGTTGTGCACACCAACCAAGTCAGTACAAGACTAATGATGTGGCAATTGGCTGCTAAAATATTCGCTGCTAGTATTAGTGTAGAGAAATGGTGCGCCCGCACATAAGGCACGTAAGGGAAATGAATGCAATACAATCTACACTAACAAAAGAGAAACATGGTAATTAGCGTACGACCGCTACCCTTCCCATTGGCTAATCAGCATATCCTTATGCAAATTAACGGTCAGCCAAGATGG